GAAAGTAAGACCACTGTCATCCACTTTCACCACACCAACCGGCCACCTCCCAGACCACCATCAATCACACTTAACGATACCAACCTCACTGTGGCCTCAAGGCATCGCCACCTTGGCCTCCTCATACAGCAGAATCTATGCTGGAACTCGCATGTTGACTACATCATCACTAAAGCGACCAGGAAGATGTTCCTTCTCCTGCGACTACGCAATTCCTTAAACACTTCTGCTCTCTCCTCCATCTATCTAACCTACATTCGCCCTATTCTTGAGTATGCTTGCACTGTCCTCTCACCCCTCCCCGCAACCCTGAACGACCGGCTTGAGCGCATCCAACGGCGCGCTGCTCGCCTCTGTTTGCATCTCCCCCTCTTTGAACACAGAACCCACTCCGTGCTGCTGCACCGACTCAAATGGCCATCACTCAGCAGCCGCCGTACCCTCTCCCATATCCTTCTTGCACACAGCCTGCATCATAGATATGCACCACCACACCTTCTTGCAATTCACCTACCCCGAATACAACCCATTCGCACGCTCAGGTTCCCCCGAACCTTTGAGCTACCCACAACACGTACAAACCGGCTAAGAGACTCCCCCATCTATGCTTCTCTTGATCTCTTTAATAGCATCCCACCAAGCATCCGGCAAATCAACCCCAGACGAGATTTCAAAGCAAACATCCTACCACTTGTCATCTCTTCCGTATGTACTTGCTCACATTGCTCAGCACATCTATAGCTCCATTGCGCCCAGCCTACGTGATTAACTCCCAATTAGAATTACCATCGCTACTGCCTCAGCAAGCAGCTAAACTTTGATCTCTCTGTATCTGATCCCCGTGCCTGCAATTATTTTTCTCTTATTTGCCACAGGCCATCGTGAGAATAAAAGAATTCAAAACAACAACAACAACAACAACAACGGGACCGAACTGCAACTCGGGATGCGGGGAAGCATGTTGTAACGTGTTTCTTCGATCTCAGTAAAGCCTTTGATCGTGTATGGCATCAAGACTTGCTGAAAAAGCTGAGCCACTACGGTGTTGACGGCAAGGCTCACAATTGGCTCGAAGCCTACTTGACAGGACGCAGACAGCGGGTGCAGGTTGAAGGCACAACATCCGCCTTCATACCAATACCAGCGGGAGTGCCCCAGGGCTCGGTCCTGGGACCACTTCTGTTCCTGGCAGAATGGCTAGAGCGCTGGCACCTGCTAGTCAATAAAACCGTCATCCTCCCGTTCTACCATGCTAACCGACCCCCACCACGACTACCCGAAATAAAACTTGGCCAAACCCTACTAGAAACAGTAACACAACATCGTCACCTCGGCATCATCTTTCAGCACGACCTAAGATGGTCAGCCCACCTTGACTTTGTGCTAAAGAAAGCTGTAAAATCTTTTAATATTCTCTTTAGGCTCAAATCAACTCTACACACTAAATCACTCTCTCTCATTTACAAAACGTATATCCTGCCCATAATTGAATATGCATGCATTGCTGTCACCCCGCTCTCAATCGCAGCCCTTGACCGTCTTGAGCGAATCCAGCGCAAGGCGGCCAGAATCTGCCTCCGTCTCCCCCTCTACACTCCTCTGGATCATTCAACACTGCTCCATCGGCTCAAATGGCCGACAATGTTCTCTCGCCGCAAAGTGAAGCTCACCCTTCTTGCTCACTCCATAAAATACCAATATGCCCCACAACACATACGCTTGCTCAACACCCCCGCTCAAGTAACGGCCCAGTACAGCCTTCGACACGCACGCACTTGGCACCTCCCACCCTCCAGAACCGATCGCTGTAAAGACTCCCCACTGTGCAAGTCCCTAGAATACTACAATGCCCTCCCTGCTAGCATTCGTGACGTCTCCTCCCGACCTGCTTTCAAACAAGAAATCTGCTCACTGCTGATTAACTCAATCTGCTCCTTCAGCGCTCACCCTCTCCCATACTTGTAAAGTTCAAAGTGATGTAAATCACTTTCTAACTGTTTAACCCACAATCTCACCTTCTCATAAATTTATCTCTTATTGGCGATGGTGCCATCGTGAGAATAAAGAATTCAAAAAAACAACAACAACAACAACAACAACAACAACAACAACAACGACAACAACAACAACAACAACAACAACAACAACAACAACAACAACAACAACGACAACAACAACAACAACAACAACAACAACAACAACAACAACAACAACAACGTACAAGGCCCTTCATTACTTTAATTGCTTGCCCGCCCGGCTTCGCGAAATCCCTTCACGTACTCCCTTCAAATCCGAGATATCCCTGCTGTTGCACAACTCTGTATGCTTGTGTAGTGACCACCCCTGCCCGTGCACTTAAGTACACAACTCTGTATGCTCGTGTAGCAACCACCCCTGCCCGTACACTTAAGTAGTCATTAACCCCTCACGGCTGTTTTTTTGTGCGATTTCACGCCACTTAACAATGTGGCCGCCGAAAGTCTCGATTGGGCTTCAATGGCAAGAAAATTTGAATTTTCAAATCTTCAGAACACGAGTAGGCCATGGTTTCCCCTGGACTTTGGAGACTAGTCAGCCCGGACAGCCCGGGGACCACGCTGATCATCTGCGTCTTGTTTCAAGCTTTCCGCTCGTACCTCACATGACTGCTTTTCCTTCAAGAAACATTTGTTCTCTGTCGTGCGACTTTGGCTTCGTTCTGGAATACTCCTTGTGCCGTCGCTGACTAACTCGGCTCCGAGAAGCCCTTCCCGATTTTTTCCCAGCTTAGATCGATAGTTTCCCAGGTAGACGACTATCCTCTGGTTGTCTTCCCCAAGTGTCATTAGAATATGCGCGTGAACTTCTAAATACGCGCGACGAGTCCGGAGCCGGTTTTCTCTTGATTTGGAAGACAAATGGCGTGGCCCTTTAGTTGCTGTTGAGTGTAGAAGGCTGCTTCCCGCTGTAAATTGCTTAGTCGGCATGTGGGATATTGTAGAAGAAGACAGCAGCCGGCCAAGTGAGCTTGAAATTGTAATATCTACCCTATTGTGCGTTGAACGATTACGAAATGTCTAACTTGAATGTTGTACACGCGAGCACGCCAAGCAGAGGCTGACAATCACTGGCGAGATCAACCTCCAGACTGCCAGGATTAGTTTGAGCAAGTTTGAAGCGGAAAGACAGCTAACTCGGCAGGCTAGGACGCCTTTCCAACCTCTTTCTCTCTCAAATTGCCCCAAAGTCGAGTATCTCGCTCAAGCGCTTTCAAAAAAAAAAAAAACCTTTTCTCTTGGTTTCGCGTCCCAAATCGTGGAATCATGCGAGGATCGACATGAGTTTCTCCCAAAAACGCAAACTCATTGCGTATTTGTACTATTCGCACAATGTTACACAAATCGCACCGAACGACGCCATATTTATAAGTGCCTGCACGTGAACAGCCGTGCCCTAGGCCCTGCCCACCCAATTCTTCCTCACTTTTTCTCCTTTCTTACACTGTTATCTCATGTTGGCCACTGGCTATCGTGAGAATAAAGATTTGAAACAACAACTCGAAGGTATCCCTGGTTGTGTGGGCAGAATATTTGTTCAGGACTGGCTTTAGCAATTCGGCTAGCCACTTGGCCATTTCGTGTTGGGTAGCATTGATCATCGACAGGGTAGGTCTAAGGGGTATGTCTTTCTTATGTACTTTCGGCATGCCGTAGAGGACAGGTCGGCACGAGCCAACGGGTCGGATCCGGGTCGTAATCTATATTGAGTATTTTTCCAGCCTTCTTGGATCGCAATAGGTTTGCCTGCAAGGCGCATTCATCAAGGTAAGTGCGGTCATGCGTTTCGGTCGGTCCCAGGTGTTGAAACTTCGATGCATCGGCCAGAATAGCATTCATCTTGTCATTGTTATCACTTTGCTGCATTATCACCACTCCAAGTTGAGTAGATGGGCGTGTTTTAATTCGTTTGAGCCCTTCTTGTAGCGCACCTCCCTCCTGAGTGCATCGTCAAACTTACTTTTGATCCGGCATTGTAATCTTGAGGAGCTTGGTGAACCTGAAGCGGTCCATCACGCTGATGCTCCGATTGACTTCGTGAAGAACACGGCGGTACTCAAAGAGAAAGTGTTCCAAGTCAGCGGTGGTCCTCACAAGTTCATCCTTGATAAAGGCGCGTTCGATTCTCCATGCCTTCTTGGCTTTAACTCTCTGCACTCGCTTCTTGGTGGAACGGGGCGCAACGCAGCACGTAGGGCAGTTCTGTAGAAAGTCTGCATTCTCACGACCACGGATGATCCGGCCTATGGTTTTTAAAACATAATACAGGTCTTGAATTAGCCGGGGGTTCAGTCGCCGTTTTAGAGAGGAAGGCGATCAAAATTTATATACACACAACAAGAGGGTTGTCAATTTCATAATACTAAAAGCTTTTCACCCATTTTATCAGTAGTTACATGGAAGACTGTTTGCTACTCCTGTGATACTATTCCACTCATTCTGGGATTCTATCACCATTTGTCGAAGTGGGCGAAGAAGGGTTCGTTTGAATCGCTCCGTGAGACCATTTGGCAGTGGATAATAAGCACTGCTGAATTTTGTTTTACCTCCATTTCCTTGCACAGCAGCTCGTTCCCGAAGCTCACAAATTCTCCTGCTCTTGAAGCAGTTGAGCACTCTTGTGTGGGGTAGCGCTTTTGCTGTTTGTGTTATGCAGAGCTGACTGACTTGACAGTTTGAGCACTCTGACAGGGTATGTTCGTGCCTGCTTTAATTAAACAGGGGTTTTGGAATATGTACTTTTCATTGCCATTAGGTTTGGCCTCATTTCCTCTGTGCTGCGCTCATGAGTCTACAAAGGACGAAACAGGTCTGTCCGCAGATTGAGTATTTACCTCAGGTATTGTGACTGTAAAAAATACATGAAGTTTCAGGGAGATGTGATACAGCAAAGTAAAAATATTTCAAAAATCATACCCCTGGGGTCCGTTAGGGTCCAACAACCCGGAAGAAGGGTTAACTTACAGGACCTCAAGGGCTGAAAGGTTGGCAAATACATTTGTAGGAAGGCTTGCAAGTTGATTATTCGCCAGGGATCTACAAAGGGAGAGGAGAAAAGGGGACTAAAATATTTTCGAATATTTGGGTTCAGTGATGGCCGCTAACATACCAGGCGGTAAACCTTTATAGGAGGAGTAGAACACAACACTGTGTGTCAATGAAGCTACACAACACTTTCATAGAATAAGTATGTCATATTTTTTTTGCGAGCTAGGATGCGGATGCAAGTTTTTAAGAGCTCTGCATCCTTTTGTGAAAGTTTTCTGTTTTAGGTTGTCCCATGTCAGTAGTTTTTTGCCCTGGCCATGGCAACCAGTGCAAGTAGTATAGTGCATGACCCCCACACATAAGGGAGTCCTTCGTTCAGCTCAGTTCTTACAAACAAATGTAGTGATTGCCTAAATGGCCTGGCCGAAATTTGTAGTCGAAATACAGCGAAGGCGACGCGAGGCAGCAGATCGAGAGAAGAGTTTGATGTCCAAGATTAGTCTGCTCACCCGGAAGGTTGAAGAACGGTCTCTGAAAGCTGCTGGATCATCGTCATTTGATCACGGTGCTGGAATTTCCGAAAAAGTGGACCAAAAAACAACTAACAAGAAAAGCCAAAAAAACCGACCTGTTGGAGCTGCTACATCAACGAGTACAAATACGGGTACTCCGGGCAGCCACCACCGTACGACCTCCGAGACCTCCGTAGGTGTCGACAGTTCTAGTTCCTCTCCTGAGAGCACAATCGTATCGCAGCTCGGATATTCGAACAATGCTTCCATCATAGCGCAGAGTGATTTACTTTCTAATTTCGAAGCGGACAACAAAGATAGTGGAGTGTATGAACTTGTTTTTGAACGAAAGCCTGCCGGAAGGAAGTGTGTGATGTTCGTTGGCAATCTTCCCTGCAGTGCAGTACCTGAGAAGATAGCTGAGTTTGTGACCATCAGAGCAAGTGAAGCCAAAGTGAACGTCAAGATCTACGAATGCAAAATTTTCCAAAAAAGAAAGGTCCTCCTCGACACGCCTTGTTCTGGATGCTTAGTGTGCAGTACTAGTAAATTCGAGAGAGTTCTGGCCTAGACCTCTGTACTGACGTCTATGGAATTTCGACAAGTATGATTCTACGTCTCCACCATCCTGATCACCTGCGGGTGATGAAAACACGCTCAACAGCCGCTGAAGATGGCACAAGGCAGAATGTAGCCAGGGCTGCCCTCTGCCAATGTGAAAGGCTACTCTGGTTCTTCCGCCAAAGTAGACAGTTGTCGCATGCTTCGACATCTGCAGCAGCCACCAAGAACACAGGCAATTCATCGTTTCGATGTTGAATGGCCACATCTTGGCCCAGAGAAGGAAGGCGACGAAGCTGGTCTACGTCCTAATGAGTTGGTTGCAGTTGACGGGCTTTGGCTTGGCAGAATATGCGGAGGATTCTGTACAGCTGCACGGCCAGCATGATCCCGTTCACCCTTAGTACCTAGAGTACCAAACATCTTGTTTGATGATCAGCTGGCTTAGTTTCTCTCCACCTCTATCCTTATTACATCCCTCCCCAATTTCATTATTACTGCTTTTTAGCTGCATTTGCCACCTTTTCATTGGGCAGATCTGCCCGTTTTGTTTGCGAATTAAAATAAACACAACAACCTGGTAGGGTGGAACTTATGCAAGCAGTATGCGATAGCGGGTGGCATGCAGGCTTTTGCTTGATTGACAAGAGCTCGGGTCTGATCAGCATCTTTGTTGGCCAGCTTCTGAGCCATGGCCTATGTGTTGGGATAGTGCATGTGAGCAGCTGCTGTCGCCAGTTCCTGTAGTTGTTCGTACGAGTTGACGATGAATGTGTGGGTTTTCTGAAGGTTTATGTTCAAGGTTGTCTTTGGCGAGAACTTTCTCGCACTCATTATTATTATTGTTATTATTGTTTCTGTGGGTGGTGTGCTGCTGGGGTCGTAGGTTGCCTTGTTTGACAACATGATCAGAGGCACCCATAGGGGCAGGCTTTTGATGGTGATGTTATTGCGGCTGAAGCTAGAGATGGCCAGGTCCAGGCACGATGTAGGTGTGTGTTGGCGTAGGTGGGTGGCAAAGCAGATGTGTTGTGTGAGGCCACGAGTCAATGCAAGTCCTCACCAAATGCATCATTGGTGTCGCTGGGGTGCCACAGGCAGTTCTTAGCGTTGAAATCGCCAAGGAGAAGTATCTCATCCTGGGGTCTTTAAACTAGCTTTATGGCTCTCCCCAGTTCCATCACGAACTCTGCCTTGTCGGACCGTGGGGGACGGTAGATGTTCCCTACCACAATGGAGTCTTGGCCGGTTGTTATTCTTATCCAAATACATTCCGCTTGAGTCATGGGAATGGTAATTAATTCTTTGTGCCAATGGTAATTGACTCCTCCACCAAAGGTGTCCCGGTCCGCTCTTATGAGTTTGTAGCCGTTGATGGCGTACATCCCGTCGCTGTCCAATGGATCAGCCCAGGTTTCCTGGATGGCGATTATCGACGGTTGTTGCAGCTCTGCCACGTGGCTAAGCTCGTCCATCTTGTCGAACAGGCACCTGACGTTCGAGCTGATTAAATTCGCGACTTCCATTACTTTTTATTTATTTTTGTATGTGTTTCGTGTTTTTTGGTATTTCCGCAATTAAAGGTATTGTTCCCACTGATATTGTGTGGAGAACAACGGTACTGAGTCTGTAGGCTAGGATTGAGTATCCTGTGACACCAGTGGGCTGAAGCGTGAGCCCTGTGCTGGGGCAAGGGGTTGGCTGTGGCCAGGGTCGATGTTGTTGCTCTCTTTTTGTTTTTTGGAATTTTTCAAATCAGGCGAGGATTCCGCATTGGGACTGGGTCTCCTGCGTCGTTCTATTCTTCACTGTCTGATGAGGGGGTGGGTGATGATGACAACAAACATGCCAAGACAATTGGGGTGAAATTCAATTGTCAGAGTTTTGGTGACTACCACGACTTGTATCTCAAGACAGACGTGTTTCTCTTGGCTGACAACTTGGAGAATTTCAAAGTAGAAGCTGTCAGGACGTATCAGCTGGATCCAGCAAGTTACTACACTCTGCTTGGATTTGCCTGGGATGCTCTGTTGATGTACTCAGGTGTGTCCTTAGAATTATTGACAGACTATGATCAGCACTTGATTGTGAAATCAAAATGAGAGGCTGTGTGCCGATGGTTTCACAACGATATGCTGCTAATAATCACTATCTGTTGTGTATCACTGGCCGATTATCTATGTCAGTCCATAACACACAACAAGAGCTTCGGTTGTTGTAGCTTGACTCTGGTCAAGGCTGCGAGTAAGATAATTTCAAGTAATGAAGTCGATGATAAGAAGAAATTCGGCAGCTCTTTCACCAACCGGAAAGAGCTCTTTGTTTCGGGGAAAAACAGCAGCAACACCATTACGAGCACACTGTAACCAAATATGAATACTACAGAAAAAGGTGAGTACGGTGCTGGCCCAATTCGGCACTAGCACCCCAAATCACTGCTGTTACAGTTCACATAATCCTGGCCAGATTAGCCCGGATACGAGGACACCTATCGCATGCGCTCTTCCGTACTCAAGGGTCTGAGAATTTTGAAATTTGGAAACTTTCACGTGCATTTTCGATCGCGTTTTCCATCTTCTCGCCTCTCCTGAGCAGCTTCTATGCCACTCAGAAGAACAATGATCGAAGCAACTGAGACATGTACATCTACTGCAGCGACTCCAAAAGGAACTACATGTACATCGAAAAACCAATCTTCCACGATCTCTTTTCGTTCTTCATGTCAGTTCGTACCACACAGTGGCACACACGTAGATACCTTTTGTGATAGTGATATTCACCCCCTTCCTTCCCTGTTTCCTGAGTTTTCCGACGACTTCTCTTAGTTTTTGCGTGTTCTTCATTGAGGTGAGGAACCATTCGCGCAAGCCCCGTCGCAATCCGTTCCTTTACACCGGCAAATAGTAGAACACCTCTTCTAGCACTGAGGACATGTCCCCCATCATCCTTTTTGGGTTTTCGTGAAATAAACAATTTTGAATTTTTCCACTCGACCATTCTGAAATACTACACGCAAAAAATCAGTCACTTTTGGATCAACTGTTGCACCGAAATATGTTGGTGGCGCAAGGAGAAGCTTGTCGTTTGGAGTGACAAGTGATCACCGCTGCTTTTCCTTGTCAGAGTCAACAATACACTTTGTTCTGCAGCGTTGGGAGTAGTGTTGGAGTAGAAATTGCTGACTAGACGTCGCGGAGGGGCGAGCTTTCCTGCGCAGGTATGAGTTTGGACGTATTTCAGAATGGTCGAGTGGAAAAATTCAAAATTGTTTATTTCAAGAAAACCCAAAAAGGATGATGGGGGACATGTCCTCAGTGCTAGAAGAGGTAATCTTCTATCTGCCGGTGTATAGTGTTTGCTAATAGATGACTTGCACAAAGATTGTCTGGGTTCGAGACGGGGCAAGTGGACCTTCTGACTCTGACTTCCCCACCTTTTTGAGTTCGTGACCGTTTCGCTTTTTGCCTGACGAACACTGGGCTAGTTGTTTTGGCTAGAGAGTAGAGTTGTTTTGATTCGGCTTGTATCGTCATGCCGAAGCGCTGCTGCGCTCCTGAATGCACTAGCAGACGAGAGATGGAACTGAGGCTCCCATTCCATACGTTCCTTTTCGAGCCGGCCGGCCGGGAGGCAGAAAAATGAGGGAATATTATTTTAGTATCATTGGTGTAGGCTGCAACAAGCACGTTGTGGTCCTGAGGAATGAAGTGTGACTACTTTCCCGCAGTGGAAGCGAAGTCAAGCACAACGGAAGTTTGTGGACGTCTGAGAAAGAACTTGATTCCCTTTGATTCGGCTGCACTAGCTCCAGAGCAACTCTCTCCTGAGGACAGACTGCAGAGAGGCCAGGAACCTGCCAAGTCACGAGTGGAAGCCCAAACCACGAAAATGAAGGGTGGAAGGACTGAGTGTTAGAGCCAGATGGCCTTTAGTAGTACTTCAAGTAGTATCTGAGTTGAAGGAGAGAACAAGTGT